CCCCCCCCCCCCCCCCTAAAATCCCTACCAGACTTAAAGGGTCTGGTATGAATTGGGGAGGGAGACTCCACACGTTATTCTAACATTTTAGTAAATGTGACTGTGCCCTCAATTTCAAAAGGGAAATGTGAGGGGGTTTAGACCCGATACTTCCCCGAAGCCTGCCACCCCCCCGAAAAATATAAATAACACGTTGTTAGAACGCATGACATGCTTGATTTTTCTTTAAAGAACATTAATTTAACTATGTGGCAGCGCATGGCAAACCATTTTGCTGTACTGCCCTGCGCCGAGATGCTGTGTTGCGAATAAATATATGCCTAGATTGTTTTATCACAGCACACACACCAGCAGAGCACACAAACTTAATTTACAGTTGTGTTCATTTTACTGTTAGCAAAAAAGGCACAATTTAAATTTTACAAATTTGTCATTAATTCAATACAGTTTTATCTTTAAGATTGTCAAAAAAAGTATTTGTGTGCACAGATATTGATTTTATTGGTGTTTACCAGTTTGATATTGAATTGATAAACATTTGCGCAATTATCGCAGGTCCTACAAAATTAGTATCATAATTTTTATTTATTCTACCAGGCCTGCGCTTTCATAAAATGTATGGTTTTGGGGAGGGGGTAATTTACATATGCTAAAAGTCAGTCTAAAATTAAAATAAAAACCAAGTGAAAAACTGGAACAGTGTGGTCAGCTGGGGCTAAAAGCGGTTGAGTGCTTGGCAGCGAAAGGGTCAATGGTACCCCAACACAACTAAAGTAGCCTGAAATGCCCCTGCAGTGCACGGTGTTAAATGTAAACTAACTAAATGGCCATGAGTCATCAGCAGACCATGCAACACAGGTTTAAATTAGATGACCAAATGTCGATACTTACTAGAATGAGGTTCCTGGGGCTACATGTTAAATGAGGCCCACTTAAATATGGTTAACTTCCAAAGATTTGTATTCCAATGTAGGCTGATTTTTTTTTTTCGCTTAGTCGAACCCCCCTCCCCCACATCACTGCCCCAAGTACCATTTAAGAGAACAGAATTTTAATGTTTATACATAAGCTGTGGGATCATCGAGCCATAAATCTTTAATATACAGTATCATTGCACTAAAATTGCAGAACCACGGCAATAAAATTACATTGCCATGCAAAACCAAAGAGAAGCCAAGAAATAGCTTTATACGATGTAATTAGTGTGCTAGAATTGAGCTGATCCAAACAAAATGTGTGCAGCGCCTCAGTGGAGGTAGAGAATGGAGACATTTCCTTTTCTTAGTATGCTGACTACAGCACTGAGATAAGGCATTTTTTTTATTCAGCCGGTTTCCACGCAGTTCTTAAGCACAAAACTGAAAAGAAAGATGCATTATAAATCCAGTTATGATGCATCATATTTGTAGGTTGTTTTTTTCTTATAAAAAAACACTCTGCATCATGTTCTCCAGATGCTTACGAAAATGCAACCCAAAATTGTATTAGTTCTGCAATTTTGTGTATATCAAATAGGCATATGTCATGATGCACTTTCACACCTGACCACTAGAGGGAGAACTTGCCAAAAATAGGCTATTTTAGATTATGTAATATATTCTAATATAATATAATGAATACAAAGCAATGGTGTTACATTTTTTTTTTTTATGAACAGCCTTTTGAAAAACAAAAACAAAAAACACACCATATAGTCACAAGGCATTATTATTATTCATCACCAAGAATTACATAACTTAGTTATACCCACTCCTAGGAAAGGGGGAGGGTGAGAGGAAGAGCAGCAATTAGAAAAAAAAAATTCTGGATCTGTGGCTTGTGGATTTATTTTTAAAGGAGATTCAGGTGACTACACAGCCACCCACAAACCTCTAAACTCAAAATATAGCAACTCTTTGCCCATTGCATGCAGTGTGGGTAATGCATGAACAGGGAGATCAGGACATCTGAACAAGAGGCCCCCCCAATCCCCCATTGTTAATGAACTCAGGAGTGTTTAGTTCTGACCACTTCCAGGGTCAATGTCAGTGCAGTGGAAGTTGAAAGGTTACGAGGAGGATGAGGACACCCAGATGTTGAATTTCTGTGCATTAAATTGCGATTTTAAAATTATTTTTGCCAAAAAATATTGTCTGTCAAACACAGTCACAACTTATGAGCAGTAGTAATGTACATATACATGTACAAGTTTTTGGTTGTAAGATACAAATCATGCAGTAACAGTACAGGTTTAAATTTACAGGTTGTAAAAATCCAAAATCAAGCACCACTTCATGTGGTGACCAAGGTTAACAGCTATCCTGCAAAATACCCATAAATTGGTCACATGCCAGGTAAAGCAATTACCAATACATAGAAAACAGTGAACACCTCTAATTCACAAAGTCATTAAAAACCCAAAGCAACAAAAATCAAACCTTTTCACTTCACACGAGAAACAATCAGCAGAATAGGCGCTGTACCCTTATTGGGTCTAAATCAGGATAAAGCATTAATCTTATTCAGAAAATTACATGCTATGGGTTAAATATCTGTAAATACGATTAGCAAAGAAACAGTACAGCACTTACTCTTCCACGCTGAGCCCATATGGCCTGCCTCTGCCAGAGCTGTAAGCCCCCAGACCATTTGATGAACCAGGACGTGGCATTCTCCAAGGTTCACACAACCAGCTTTGACTGAAACGGGAGAACAAAGAGGTGTTTAAAACCATAACTTCAGCCACAAATGATGTCTCCACTCACTCTGATCCCACACCTATATACCCTCCCAGCTTCTAATTAGTGCTTGAGGTCCATTAACCCATTCACTGAGAAATGCATTCAGCATGTAGTGCAAATAGGCCGTGAATTTTAATCGAAAGGACCTCATACACACTCTTAGCTTGCAGATGCTAGTCTGAAACTTGCTTACAGGGCTATTCACAAAACAAAAGGGTGCAGAGTTTGGAGAAGGCAGGAGAAGTGAATAATCTAGGACAGAATAGGTGATTTGGAAAAATTCTCCAATTCAGCTCACTTTCCAGATAAGCTATGTTGTCCTAGATTGTTCACTTCTCCTGCCTTCTCCAAACTCTTCACACTTTTGTTAATAACCCTGCATGTCTGGACCAGATCTGGAGCAGATCTGCAAACGCAGTGCAGTGCACTTTTGCCACGTTTCAGTGAAGGTTTTTTTTTTTTTGCGTAAAATAGGCTTTCATTCACAGTCCAGAGTGTCCCAGTGCATTTGCATGTGTTTTTGATGCGTTTACATGCATTCCGGACCAGAGAAAATAAGACAATAATAAGTATGAAAATACGTTTGTTTGTTTTTTTGTCTGGTCCGGAAAGGACTGCGCTGGTGTGAACAGAGCCCAGAAATACCATAGGGATATATCGGGATGCTTTTTTGGTCCGGAAACAAACTGTTTTGGTCTGGACATGATCCGGACATGGTGTGAACAAGCCCTTACACGTTTATATGGCAGGTAAACTCAGGAGCAGTAATGTCAGCTGTTCAGATCACCTTTAAGTGTTACATTGCTGTACACAATATTCCTGCAATCCTTTATCTATAGTAACACGTCCAAGAAATAAATAGTAGTGCATTAATAATGCACTTACTGCATTGTAAAGACAGCCTTTTTTTTTCTTCTTTTAATGTTTAATGCAGCTTTTTACAAAGCCACACACAAGAGCAAGCAAAAACATGTATTATAACCGATAGACTCATGCTGCCATGTATCACACTCTACTTTCCTTGCAATGTGGAGCGCCGTGTTTATCAAAAACGGTCATTACGTTTTCTGTGTGTTACAGCTTCTTCACACCATAGCATTGCACTAAGAGCATGGTATTCATGATATCCACTCCTTTGGCGCACGCTATCACACAGCACACTGCATCACACACTCGGTGTGCTGCATTGCCATTCATTTGAATGTCACCCCAACAAACCTTCTTCTGGACGTGTGTTGCAGCGCAATACACTGTATCGCAAAAAAAAGTAGTGCATGCATTACTTTTTTCACCACAGTGAAATAGCGCAAAATATGCTCCACTGCAGGAGGTGTGTTGGGGTGCCATTTAATTGTATCACCTAGCATGTGCACAGTGCGCTGTGCAATAGAGTGTGCTACTCGGATCCTGTCATATAGTGCAATGCCGCTGTGTGAATAAGTACCAGGTGCACTGCCCACCCATTCAAAATTAATCAATGCACAATAACTCGTTGCATTAATGCATGTCTATTCACTAATTACATAGTGTGAATTGGCCTTATATACTGTATATTTTTTTTGTTGCTGAAAAATGATCATTTTATAGTTTTAAACATATAGTAAGAAATATGTATGCAGAAAATGTTACATTTAATAAATATGAACAAGAACAATTATTGGGTATTACACATGTTGTTCGAGTTCAGCTATGTTGTCCTTGATTGTTCACTTCTCCTGCCTTCTCCAAACTCTTCACCCTTTTGTGAATAACCCTGTAATTTTTTTTAATATAGTGCTGCTGCAGAAGATGAATTTTGCAGGGTATTTACAACTATTCACATAAGTCCCTTGTAATTGTTTAATTAATCTACAAGTGATTTTAATTCATTGATGGAATAAATACACATAAACATGGGGAAATTGTATAAATTCCACAAAGAATGGGTCCCCAGTGAGAAGTGAACCTAAAAGAAAGCTACAAGGCAAGAGTGCTAATCTCTTATTACAAGTAAAGTTCAACAACAAAAGAAAAAATTTTCATAACAAATTAAAACATTACTTAGACATTATCCTTCTCTTAGCTGTATTTATGAGTGTTTCATTTTTAAATAAAGCAAATTCATGAAAATGTTACGCAACTATTGTGTTAAAAAAAATCTATAATACGCACAAATCACTTTGATTCTGAATAATGCCACTAAAATAGATTTTTATTCTCTATGGACAATTAATTGTTTGCAGTTCCCATTGTTGGAAAGTTGTACCACACTGTTAAAAAATTAGTATAATATCTGTAGTAAATCAAATCAGTTTTGGTAGGAAGTCTTGTGATTATGAATCTTCTCCAAGACTCAGTTGCTCTGAATGGTTTCTGCTTCTAGTTAATTAAGAGAGCAATTTAATTCTGAGTGTTTAGATTTAGAATTACTGATTTTTTAAGATAGAATGACTTTCACAAGAATTAAAATTAGATTTGCCGATGAACAGGAGGAGTTGCTTGGACTTACCTCACAATGGTTGGAGCTGCACTTCGGGACTGGATACAGATACTGTTTTCTTTCCCTTAATCTTTTGTGCCTGGATCTTATGACTATCACGGGTTCAACTTCTAAGTAACCCTTTGATTTATTTTAATTAGCATGAAAGCTGGAATGATCAGTCCCTTTTATTCTCATCCTCCAAGAATCCATGCCCCCGCTGAGTGGCTTTCATGAAACAAATATGCCAGAATGGTCAATACAGAAAATGGTCATTAAATACATTTGTTTTTTGGCTTGTGTTTTTGTTTTATCACTGAGTACCTAAAACAACTGTTGCACATGCAAAGGTGACATTCTCCTTAAAAATATGAATATGTTACATGTCCACTGAAATCCCTTGTCTTTTTTTTTCACAGGATGAATAGAGTTTAAAGAAAATCTCCAGTAGGGAATAAACTCCCAAGCTGCCAGTGAAGCTTCCTAGCACACACAGTACAGGCTGCATTCCTTGTAGGGCACCCAGCTACCCTGAATACTTGGGAGATCTGGTGTGCAAATGGCATCCAGTTCCCTTGGTCAAAGGGTCTATGACTTGGACCCTGTTTTGTTTTTATTTTTGCCCATCACTCTGACGGCTCCTGGAGTTGTCTTCAGTTATAGTGGGGTTTCACTTCTTAATCACATATTTACACTGATTAGCCATAACATTATGACCACCCGCCTAATATTGAATAGGTTCATGTAGACTCATACCTATTCTAGAGGTGGACAGGGTGCATGGGCACCCTGACCGGTCTGCAGTTTGTTGCAGCCCCATATGCACTATGTGTTGAAACCCTTGTATGTTCAGCATTAACTTTTTCAACAATTTGAGCTATAGTAGCTCTTCTATTGGATCAGTCTACACTGGCCAGCCTTCGCTCCCCATGTGCATCAATGAGCCTTGGCTGCCCATGACCCTGTCTCTGGTTCACTGGTTTTCCTTTCTTGGACCACTTTTGGTATTGCAGACCAGGAACATCCCAAAAGAGCTGCAGTTTTGGAGTTGCTCTGACACAGTTGTCTAGCCATCACAATCTGGCCCTTGTAAAAGTCACTCAAATCCTTACACTTGCCCATTTTTTTGCATCTAACACATCAACATCAGGGATAAAATGTTCACTTGCTGCCTAATATATCCCACCCACTTCTAGGTGTCATTGTAACAAGATAATTATTGTTATTCATTTCACCTCTGAGTGGTCATAATGTTATGGCTGACCAGTTTAGGCCCAGATTTCATGGGTTATTTCTGTTAACAGTGGAAGTAAACCAGAAATAGGTTGGCGTAAATGATCATGGGAATCTGCAACCAATAACAGGCAGCTGAAGGTTGTGTTAAGAGACAGAAAAAGAGGAAGGGCACAATCCTCATAAATTAAAGGATGATTTGATAACAAAATAGCTTAAAAACATCTACAGTATAAGTGACTCAATGTCAGCTTATCAAAGACAATCAGGGAGCAGGAGCAGTTCAAGCCCAACAGTCCACGGCCAGTAGTGGGGCGGTGTGATGGAAGTGTGGGCTGTCAGTAGCTCCCACAGTGAAAGACCCTCTCAGAGATGGTTAGGTGCACAGAATTCTCAATTGCCTGGATGGCCTTAGGGAATGATAACTTTTGCAACTGTTGCTATTGTGAAGCGTTTTGGGGCTCCACCCTTTTCTCAATTATGGACAGAGGCTAAGGGGTTTATTTATAAATAATTTTCAGGGCCCTTCACCCTGCAAATATCTGTGAATGTTCATTTTGGAATAATGCCAAAATGCATGTTCCTAATATATTTTTCCCCGCTTTGAACAAATGTAATATTACATTATGGCCACTAGATGGAGCTGTATTTCCTATGCTCCATCTAGTGGCCATAATGTAATATTATAACACTACATTCAAACTGGGGAAAAAATATATTGAGAACATTCGTTTTGGAATTTTTCGCCCAAAATGAATGTTCATAGGTATCTGCAGGGCAAAAGGCTCTGTGAATTGTGCATTAATAGACCAATAAGTTTTTTAATAAAGGTGTTATTAAATCATCTTTTAATGCATGAGGATTGCTGCCTTGCTGTTTTTTCTGTCTCCCTGTGTGCTGGATCTCCCTGGTTATCAGGAACTGTATGAGTGTGTTCCCTCTTCTCTTCTTCTATCCTGGGCTCATTGTGGATTCTCTATGGACTACTGTTTTTTCTAATTGGTTTGGAAACATGGAAAGAATGTGAAGAGTGATCTCTTTCTTCATTCAAGTCTATAGAGTACAGGAGATTAATCACTTTAATTACTTTCAACTGCATCTTTGTGTGATCATGGAAGGTTATTTGCCCAAAG